ATCTTGTACAGATTTCCAAACTGCAGTTTTTAATCTGTTTTACTAAGTAGGATACTTCTGCAGTGCTTACCTGATGAAGCAGGTGCATGCTGTACTTCAATCACATTTGACAGAAGGGAGAGTCCAGCTCTAACAAAGAGAAACAAATACAGGATGTTGATGGTTGGAAATGTCTGCAGAGCTGAAAATAATATATTTGACAAAGTGTTATCAATTATGTGTCTGTCTCAGGCTTTGGCTGTGACAGCTGCTACTGTCCTGCACAAACCTGGGTGATGGAGTTGTCATTTTATTGCAATTTTTAATAAATGTGACTGCCATAAAATACCTGTTGATTGAAGAGTGTTTCAAATATCATTTTACCCTATACGGGTTCTTTAAGGGCATGATTTTAAGGAGAAAAGATTGAGGAGTAGTCAAAATATGGGATGGTGCAAGATAATTTTTTGGAGAAGGAGGGCTTGTGCAGAGCATGTTAAATGAGGAAAGGTTAATCAGGAGGTGGACTTAAGGCTTCATGTGTTAAAATCCTGCCAGGTGGGATGGTGAACCTTCCAGATTGTAATAAAGATCCTGCACACATTTTGAACTCTCTGTCTGCTACTACAGTGCAAGTTCCCAGGCAGGGGAGGAGCAGGAGCAGCTCTGCCCTGCACTGCTGGTAGTTGATTAATGTGGGATCTAACAAGTCCCTTCTTGATATTCCAGCCAGCCAGATTTAGCATGACACTTATCTCTTCACTTGCAATCTCTTCACTTACAATCTCTGTTCTTCATCTGAATTGATCTGTGCCACGATTCTCCAGTGTGTTAATGAGTTTTATGTGTGGTGGAGTGCTGGAGGCCTTCTTAAACACCAGGGACATCCTGCCTACTGCATTTTATTTATACACCCACTCTGTTACTCTTGACAAAAAGAAGCTGAGTTGTTTATCTTTAAGTTTTTGACAAAAAATTTGTCTTACAGTAATTTTCTCTGCTCTGGCGGCCCACAGAAGCAAATCCAAATATATTATTCACCTGCTGTTTCAAAACCATTTAAACTTGCCAAGTCTAAGTGGTGTTTTACACCATTGTGCTGATACTCTCTAAGTTGTTATTAACTGCCTCAGAAGTAATTTTTGATTGTGGTTGCATTCAGCAGAAAGATGACAAGGCATGTTCTTTTCTCTGTCAGGCTGAAGCAAAGTAAGGACAATACGCCTGCCCTTGGAAACAAAATGTTTTGGAAGCATTGTTTCTGTTTTGTTCATTAAAGCTGCCAGAGCCCTCCCTTACCTGCTGCCTTATTTCACTGCTTTTTAAATACATCCTGACAGAGCTTGGTTAGTGTTTGGGAAGATGTTGTCTAGAACATTCAGCTGTTGTGCATGGTTTGGGAGCTGAGATCCTTTGCTAATCCATTTGGAAATCCCTGTGTTGGTGAGAAACCAGACCTTAGATGAAGCTGTGGTTGCTTGGGTCTCTCTGTGTAGTTGGCTGGCTTGCCAGGAGGGGCTCTCCCACTCCCCTGTACTTTGCCTCAAACATGAATCCGTGCCTCAAACATGCACACACACATGCAGAAGTGTGTTCAGCTTGGTTTTGTAGGGAAAAGGGACTGGGAGCACCACCCAGCAAGGTGTCATGCTCTTCAAACTCTTCTCATCACAAAGCACCACCAGTTTGTGCTCTCTGCCCACTTCCAGATGCTGTCACACAATGGTCAGTCAGTGGAATGTTTTTGCCTTTTCAGAGACTAAGGGTTGCTAGGTCTGTTTTGCAATATCACATGATCCAGGCTCACCAGCTTGGATCACTGATGGAAATCCAGCTTTTCTGGAGTTTTCTGGGTCACTGTGAAGCAGCAGAATGTAAAGTATTAAATAGGCATTGAATTTTCACACAGACTAGTGTTTACTTGTCTTTTCTTTTCTTTTCTTTTCTTTTCTTTTCTTTTCTTGGTGGAATGCTGCTGTAGAAATGCAACTGGATTT